GGGCACATGCCCCCCCCCAACGCAAGAGGCACCAGACACCCATGCAAGTGTTTGACTAACCTGTTCTTAAAAACCAACAAGGATGGAGATCACACCCTCTCTGGTTAGCCTCTTGTTTAACCAGCCTCGTACATAAAATCCAGCCTAGATATCCCTTGCTGCAATATACCTTTCCTGAATTTCCCTTTCACCATTGCTCTTTTTTTCTTCCACCTGCACCTGGCTTTCCATTTGACATGTACTTTACTGCACTAACTGTGTCTCTCTGTTTCACAGGATGCTCCTAGAGGCAGGGATCTGGCCCCTTATGTGTATAAAGCAACAGGTCCATTCACTGTAATCCAAATAATAGAGCAAATCTGTACCTGGGAAACTTATGTAAATGTATCCAGGAGCTTACATTTCACTGTGTCCATAGATTCCTTCCTGGGCAGCCCTTTGCCTGCCCTCAATTAGATGTTTATTAAATTAAGCAATGGGCTACATCACTGAGGTACTTGTAACTCCCAGCTCCCTGGGGGAGTGTCAGCTCACCACAACCAGAAACATCTCAGCAGAAGTGAGCCTAACATGTTTTTCTTTGCACCAGGCAAATCCTTTCACTGCACTGCTTGTGTGAAAGATTGGAAGGGTTATTAGTTTTTAAAAAATGACGATGACTGTGAAACACTTGAAGTTCTCTGTGGATTTGGGTTGTACCCTTGATGCTGCTTCTGTTTCAAATTGATGGTGATGTGGGCAAGCGCTAGTGAGAACAGTGCGAGTGTTTCAGGGGAGAAAGAAGGATTGGTCCTGTAGTTCACTATTTGGAGAGATTTTGTCTAACTGAAGGGGGAAAAGAATGAATGGCCTTTTCCCAAGTAAAGAGGTGGGGGAACCCTACACCTCCCTCAGTGTTAGACTTCTGCTTTTAACTTTTAAATTGCCAAAAAAGCTTTTGGTTCTATGTCTACATTTAACAGTACTTTCTTGTATCCTTATATTTTGCCTGCCTGCATTTCTGTAGAGGGGTAGAAGCTCTGACAAGGTATTGCATGGGATGCTTGATGCTATACTCCCATACTTTTCTGACTAGTTTACCTGCTTGTTAGAATATGTAGTAAGTTTGTCGTTAGCTTACGTAGTAAATTGTGTATTTGGTCTATTTTTACTTTCCATATTATTGCCCTAATATGATACATGTTGTATGAGAAATAAAGTAAAATGTCACATAGATATGCATTTGGATGTGACTCAAGTGTGAATAGAAAAGAAAAAACATTGACTTGGAAGGGACATCAGGGAGTCATCCAGTCCAGGGTTATCCCTGTCTAAACCAAGTATTCAGGGGCGATGTGTAGAGGGTACACAGGGGTGCACATGCACCCCCTGAGAACGCTGGTGCACCCCCTGTCAGGCTGCACTCCATGGTTAGCTGGCAGGCAGGGGGGCAGGCAGGAGCACCAGTGTCTCCCCTGCGAGTGTCGGCTAGGAGTGGGGCCGCCAGCAACAGTGGCTGCACCACTTCTGGAAGTAGCTGTGGGAGTGAGATCAGTCGCAGGGGACACCCCCCCAGTCAGCAGGATCGACTGCATTTGATGGAGAAGGCAATGATTTGTATTGTTAGTTGTGATTCAGGATTAGCTAAATGCACTTGAAGATGTCTGGCTGAGAGCTGCTACAGCATTTTGTTCCTCCAGCGGCTTACGTCGTCATTGTTTATTTTTATTCCCGTGTGTTATCTGCTCTATTTTGTTGGTGTGTTTTGACAGATCCTCCTGACTGGGTGCCAGATGAAGTCTGCAGCTACTGCACTGCGTGCAAAGCTCCGTTCACAGTCATCCGCAGGAAGCACCATTGTAGGAGCTGTGGCAAGGTAATGACTCTGTGAAACACATGATGCGCTGTCAGCTGTAAAGAACGGCACGCTCATGCAAACCGCTGGCACCACCCAGCCCAGCACATGTTCAGCCGCAGAGAACCTGCAGCATCAGAAGCCACGAGCTACTATTTTGTGTACCTCCATTTCTGGCTGCCCAGCTTGCACCCAGAAAGGGGCTGATTTGCAGAAATGACAGACACGTGTAACACCGAGGCCCTGTCTCAAGTGGACACCCACAATCAACAGTCTCTTTTGCAAATCTTGGCTTGGAACTTTAGCAAATTCCAGCAGCTTGTAGTGTGAGAGTGGCATGGTCCAGCTGGGACCCTGGCCCCATGCTCCTGATGGGATCACTGTAGTGCATACAAAGCTCAGGCTTGTCTCAGGCTACTCACGTGGGTCAAGGAGCCTTGAATCTGCAGTCCCCTCTGCACTTACGGTCTCACTTCTGAATAAGAACAATGGCCCCAAATTGATGGGGAACAAATTTAGGTTGGACATTAGAAATAACTTCTTCACAGTAAGGGTTGCCAGAATCAGGAATGGGCTTCCAAGGGAGGTGGTGCTCTCCCCTACCCTGGGGTCTTCAAGAGGAGACTGAGCTTTGTATGCACTACAGTGATCCCATCAGAAGCATGGGGCCAGGGTCCCCAGCTGGACCATGCCACTCACACACTACAAGCTGCTGGAATTTGGCAGGGGGATGGACTCGATGACCTACTGAGGTCCCTTCTGACCCTAACATCTATGAATCTATAAGGGTACAATCCAGAGGGAGGGAGGGAGTGGGTGTTTTCCCAGGGGGCGTAAACCCAACTGGTTCTTATTGTGTTTGCCTTAAGTTGCAATTTTAATCAAGGTTCAAGAGTCTAACCCTGCAAATCCTTCTCATGCAAGCAACCCAAGTGACTGCAATAGCCCTGCTCACATGAGCAAGGTCTAGTGCCTGGGAGAGGCTGGGCAGACTCAGGTGACATCGGGCACCAGCTGGTGAGGGCTGTCAGCTAAAATGCACTAGACAGGAGTGCTTCCCAGCTGAGACATGCCAGGAGTGCAGTAGATTCAATTCTCCCCTCACCTGCTTTTTAGCCAGCTTTAGTCATGTCCAAAACCTCAGCATGTAAAATTCATTCAGTCTCTCTGGTATTTTTCAGATCTTCTGCTCTCGCTGTTCCTCTCATTCTGCTCCGTTACCTCGATATGGTCAGATGAAGCCTGTCCGGGTTTGCACTCACTGTTACATGTTCCATGTCACTCCTTTCTACAGTGACAAAGCTGGTATCTGACACATTGAGTCAGCGGTGCACCTACTGGAGTCTGAAATCGACTGATCTTACGTTTGATCTAAGCCAAGAATGAACTTGAAGGAAGGACCTTGTTGCGGGCATGTAGGCTTTGACATTCATTATTTTCAATTTTGTACAGACACTTTTTATTGCATTTTATTAAGCTGCTAAAGGGAAGTACAAAGTGTCTGTAGCTGTATGGCTGCAGTACTGTCTTCCATAGATTTCTAACGTTAGCATTCCAATGCCATATGCAGAACAGACGTTCTGCGTGGAAGGAAATAGGGCTCAGTGGACTGAACCTACATTGCTGCGCTGCTGCTTATCTGACACACAAAGAACAGAGTAGCTGGTTAACTCTCACTCAGCACAGCAGATCAGTTCCACAGCTAGGACACTTCTGCACGTGCTAGTATTCTAGCTCTCCCTCTTGTTGCTATTTACCTTTTCCATTGCTGGATACAAGCTGCCCGAGCTAGCATTAATTAAGGCAAATACGTTAAGCCCGTATTCAGTATTCACCTAGGCAAAATTCTTTTTGAACAACAGAGGAAGAATCCAAAGTCCCAGAGCAGTATGTTTCTGTTGCCTCTTGCTGAGCACAGCAATAACTTGGAGTATCTTTTGAAAATTAGTTCTTGCATCTTTTACTTTATTTCTTTCCAGTTAGGGATTTTTTGAAGCATCATTGATGCAAACTCCTGATGATGAAATCCTGATGCATGAGAGAGTTTGGTTTGCAATATTGATAATAAAATACTAAGAAAAGTTCCAGAGGAAAGAGTTAGTCGATGAATGAATTGCTATTAAAAAAATTTTATTTTTGAAAAGTTTAGCCGCATTAGTACAGTATGCATGACAGACCGGAGTTATCCCAAGCTCTGCTTTTGAAATGATTTTTTTAAAGGCAAACTAGTATCACCACTTTATATTTTTATTCAAAAAGTCCTACAGATTGGTCAACTATATAAAGTTTATTTATCATCCATAGTTTGCAGAGTAATTTTATAAAACATTTCAGACTCTTCCTTTTAGACGTAAATCACACTAACGCCTCATAAAACACATCTATTTTAATACACATATCTGTATTAAAATGTACATATACATAGATATAAACTATGCTTCTCTTTGGAGAGGAAAATAAAAGATTCACAGGGTCATGTGGTGATCTTACACAAGTGATATGCAGTAGGAGTTCTGTGAACACCGGGGTTTGGAGGTGTCTGGACATGTTTGATGTTAGCCACATTCAAAGAAAAAAAACTGTTCTGTGGTTACAGAGGAAATGAGATCAAGAGCTCTGTGCTGACTTGCGGTGTTAACTGAATGTTTCGAGCTGATACAGAGAAAACTGCGCTATTTCACTCAAGCGTCCTCATTTAAAATGATAAAGCAAAAACTGGTCTGTGCGTATTTTTTATTTTGTGGAAACTTCCTTTGCTATGTAGTTTTATATCAAATGTAATGGAGCCACATAAACATAGCAGTTTGTTGGCATTGCTGACATTTCAATCAAATGAAATAGCTTCACCTAGTTTGCGAAAGGCACAAGTCTTATGATCCGCCTGTAGACACATTCAGCAGTAGGATGTTAGCCTCACTCTATTTATAATTTTTTTGCAAATTCCCTTTCACGAAATCCTCAAGTTGGCATGTCTACAGTCACCGGAGGTTAAAGAGACCCAGGGTGGATACCTCAGGAGCTGGGTAATGTGGTACAAGCAGTGATACTTATTCAGGCTTAAATCTCAGGCTTCACATGCAATGATTATTGCAGTTTTATTTTTAGAGAAACAACAAATCTAATGCTTCTTTTATAGGATGAAAAAAAATACAACTGACTTCAGTTATGAAATAAATATGCACAAAAGTTGCTTCTGTGGAACAAAAAAGTAATTATTTAATGGACTGAATATTTATTCAAGCTTGTTTTTATTTTGTAAATGCTGTAATTCAGAATCATTTCCATAAATATGGTATTTAAAGATCTCAGACGCTATAGTTT